GTCAAAAATTTCAGAGTTAAAATAATATACTATATATTCTTAAGAGAATTAAGATTATCAATAAGAAAAACATAAATAGGAAATCCCGATAATGACTAGTGATTAAGCACCATACTTCTCAATAGCTTATATGTCAAAGAAGAAATCAAAACAGAAATTGCAATATATTTCAAATTAAATTAGAATACAAACATGGCATGTCAAACTTAGAGGGTAATTAGAGCTGTGCCTAGATGAATCTTTATAGCTTTTATTTCATTTATTAAAAGGGGAGAAAAGCTGAAAAATCTATGATCCTAGTATCCAACCCAGGAAGTTAAAAATATAGTGAATTAAACCCAATGAAAGTAGAAGAAAGATAACAGAGATGTGACAATTTAATTTATGGCATCGACACCTTTGGGTCTTAGGGTACTCAGCTATTTGATCAAACACTATCCTCAGTGTTTCTATGAGGATGGTGTTGGACAAAGTTAACATTAAACCTATAGACTGAGAAAAGCAAATTGTCCTTCATAATGTGGATGGGTTTCATCAATCGGATGAAGGCCTGAATAAAACAAAAAGGCTGAGCCTCTCCTGAGAAAGAGAGATTCTTCCTGCCTGTCTGCTTTGGAATTGAGACATCAGCTTTTACCTGGCCTTTGGGACTCTAATGGAAACTTCGACTCTTCCTGGTACTTGAGACTGCTGGTCTCTAAACCATAACTACACCATCAATTTTCCTGGTTCTCAGGCCTTCAGATTCAGACTGGAACAACAACATTTCTCCTGGGTCTCCAGCTTGCCAACTTACCCTGCAGATCTTGGGACTTGTCAGCCTCCGTAATCATGTGAGCCAATTCCTCATGATAAATCTTTCTATACAGAAATATATCCTATTGACTTGTTTATCTAAAGAACCCTAATTCAAAAAATAAGAGTAGATATTAAAGTAATGGAAAACAAAGTTAATACTTTAGCAAAAGTGAGAGTTGATTTTTTGAATTTGATGTATCTGTGGCAAGTCTAATCAAGAATGAATGAGAAGGCATACAGGATCACAAATAATTTTTGTTCATTCTAGGAATGTTGTTGGTTTAGCATTTTAAGAATGTAGTTGGTTTAGATTTTCAAAATCAATATAATTCACATTTTAACAGAAATCAGGGCAGAATATATGACATTAAAAATAGATAAGAAACATTTAATAAAATTCAACTTCCCTTCAGGATAAAAATCTCTTGGTATTCTAGAAAAAGAAAGAGACTTCTTGACTCTGAACTTTGTTAATTTACCCAAAGCTAAGAAAATGTCCTCCTTAATGGTGAATAAATAAAATTTTTCTGGTAATCAGAAATGAGATAAAGTGCCTATTATGTATCTTTTCTATTAAACATTGTACAGCTATTGACAATATAAATTATTAGAGAAAGAATTGAAACCTTCATATGCAGCTTGTGGAAATTAAAACTGGTTTAACCACTTTGGAGAACTGCTTGGTAACATCAGTTAAAATTAAACGTGTTCATACTCTATGGACCAGCATGTACTTGATAGAATGCACATATTCACCAAAATATATATATAAGTTTGTTCATTTCATCATTATTACATTGATTGTAAAATGAATACATTAATTGTGGTAGTGTGATAGCTAAAACAATGGAATACTGTTTGAGTAATGCAATTGAATAAACTACAACAAATAAAATAGAAATAGAAGCAAGACAAAAAATAACTTGTAATACATAATTCTTACATAAAATTCAAAAACAGATAACAGTAACCTATAATGTTAAAAATCAGGACATTGTTTAATTTTAGAAGAGGGAAGATATTGACCTAGTAAGAGTATGAAATAGGGTTCTGAGAGGCTTGTATTTTTTAAAAAAAATTTCTTGTCTTTTTGTTTTATTTCTTCACATGGGTAGTTTCATGGGTATATGAATACACAATAAAATATTTTAAAATTAAGCCTCTATTACTGATCAAAGAAATTTATAAAATGTGAATTAATTTATATCCTTTATTTTCAGAATCCAAGATCTTATTTAATGAGGAAACACTAGATGCACTAAGAAGAAATGATACTCACCCTCTCCACTATTTTTAACACTATAGGCTATTTTAGCAAAGCAGTTAGACTAATACAAACACTTAGAGAAATAAAAATTGAAAAGGAAGAGTAAAATGTCTGTATTTTAGATTATTATGAAAACATGCCTGAAATGACTAAGAAAAATCAACTTTAATTATTGTTATTTGTATTCTTGATGGTTACCATTCTAATGAGAGTGAAATAAAATCTCATTGTAGTTTTGATTTTTATTTTCCTGATTACTAAGGAGGTTCAATATTTTTTTCACTTATTTGTTATATACATTCACGATTATGTCAAAATGAACCCCCATTGTATTATATATGATACATGAATAAAAACAAGAAAAAACAAAATTAACATTAAAATAAATACAAATAATAAAATAATTGAGAAGGATGTATACCCAAATTCAACTATATAAATTTTAGTTTTTAGAAAAGATAATGAAAAGAATAGCTCATATAAAATGACAACGAAAACATCAAAATAATTAAGTATCAAGTTAACCAGAAAATAATGTAGAACACTTGCAAACTTCTTATAAGATATAAAAGTATACTTGAATAAATAAAAGGCATTCTTTAGTCTTTGATTAAATGTCTCACTTTTTTATTTCTGAAGTTTACTCTTTTTCTTAACTTTTAAATTTTTATTTATATTTATTACTTTTTATTTATAAATGACAGCGGAATGCATTACAATTCTTATTACACATTTAGAGCACAATTTTTCATATCTCGTTGTATAAAAAATAAATATTGACACCAATTCGTGTCTTCATACTTGTACTTTGGATGATAATGATCACCACATTCCACCATCATTAATAACCCTGACCTCCCTTCCCCTCCAACCCCTCTGCCCTATCTAGAATTTGACGTTTTTAAAGTCAAATAAATATTATATCATAAAACAGTTTAAAGTTTTCTAATTTTCATGTTTATTTATAAAACTACAAATTTCTCTCAGTAAGATTCATCTGTGTCTCACAAGTTTCAATATGATAAATTTTTGTTTAGTTTTTATTTTATACATTTTATTAATGATTTCTTTCCTCATAAATTAGAGATATTTTTTATTTCCAAAATACTTTTCTCAGTGATTTCTCATTTTACTTCATTGTGATTAGAATATAATAATATCTAAAATTTTGATTCTTTGGTACTTAATAATTAGTATTTATCAAATACCCGTTTTCTTCAGAGTTCTAGGTTCTAATGATATAACAATGAACAAATCACCTACTTCTTTGTCTACAGTATTTACATTCTGTTGTGAAAGACTTTAAAATATGATACATAAATGATTTATTACTTTGTGTTTCAGTGTGGTCAGATATGATTGCAGAGAAGTCTTCTTTTATCTTGATCCCTTATGTTTATTGAGTGACCTTGTCTGATATTTTCTTAATGTCTGGGACTCTTTTCTCTTCATTAATTCTCTAAGTGATTCTAATACAATATTTCCTGTATCATAATCTTATAGTTATTGTCAGATCAGGCGAGGTGGGCAGAGACCAAAGGAGGCAGATTTAAAAAGGCTGCCGAATGAGGCTTTATTGAGATATCACTCCCAGGTGGAACTCGATCAGACCCACAGAGTGGACAGGAGAAGGGTCTGAGGAGAAACCGCATCGAAGCTTGACCAGACTGGACTTTTATGGGGCTTACAGCAGGAATGGAAGGGCTTGGGACAGGAAAAGGTGTTTTTAGGGTCCCTTGTCCCTTTGGAGTTGGTCAAGGGAGTTGGCTGAACTCCAGGATTGGCCAGGGGGTCCTACTGATTGACAGGCGTTTCTTCTGGCACCTGATTAATGTTCCTTTCCCACGGGCTGCTTTGTTCTAAGTCGCCACCAAGTCATCGACCTAACAGTTATCTCAGTAATTCTTGATATTTTGATGCTCAGTGTTTTATATATTTGCTTTCTGGGAGCTATTAGTGCTGTCTTATAACAAAGCAACTTTTGTCTTTCAAATATTTACTTTCAAAACATAATAATGTTTTAGAATAGGACTATTACAACTTTTTAAAAAATGTTTTTCTAGTTGTAGATGGACACAATATCTTTATTTTATTTATTTTTATATGGTGATGAGGATTGAACCCATTGCCTCACACATGCAAGACAAGCGCAATAACACTGAGCTACAGCCCCAGACCAAGACTATTACATCCTAAGGCTCTAGTTTGGAAGGATTAGATTAGTCACTTTTTTTACTTAAGTGATATTTTCCAAACTTTTTAAACTATCAAATTTTCTTTACCATAATCTCATACATGCAATAGAAACTAGTCTTGCTATTCATCATTTTCTCTGGTATGTAAAAAGAATTGTTCTGAAGTTCAAATATTAAAGTATAGTATATGTGACTTTGTATGAATTTAAGAAATAACTATATAAATACATATCTAATTTTGACGTTTTTCTCATTTAACAAATCATTAAATATACCATCACCATCTTATTTTTATTTTCTAGACAATTTTTCTTTTCATCCAATTTTTATATTTACTTTTATATTGTTTCACATATATTTATATACTTTCTCATTTCATCTTAGAATGAAGCAGAGTTAATTGATAAATGTTTATATTGAAGTAAAGCTTATTTGCCATGCTATATATTTTTTAGTTTTTAAAATTGGCACATAAAATTATACATATTTATGAAGTATCTTGTGATGTTTCAATACATGTGCATATTGTGTAATGTATCTGTATTCTCAAACATTTATTTGTGGTGAGAATTCTTTTAAAAGTAGAAAACTTATTTTCAAGTTCTAGAAAATTAGTATTATATAATTATAAATAAGGGTTTGTTATGTGATATGATTTTTTATTGTACTAACATCCTTTATTTGAGCCAAGTTAAAATTAATGTCACAATTAAGAAAATGATTGTTTTAATGTTTTTCAGCTGCTAATAGGTTATGAAAATGGTACTGTAGTATTCTGGGACTTGAAATCTAAAAGAGCAGAACTGAGAGTTTATTATGATGAGGTAAGTGATTTCTACTGAAATATTTGAAGACTTATGACTTTGTGTCATTTCTATTTTTAAACTTTGTACTGTACCAGTATTTTTTCGCTGGGAAATTACCTGTTTTTCACACTTTATTTTGTTATTTTTATAAGTTTCAACTCTGGGTTATCCTTCTGAGTAGCATTCTGCCCTGACTGCCAATTTTTAGGCCCTATTTTAGAGTATCCTATGTACTTGGATTCATGTTACTTATGGTGTATTCCCAATTTTTTCTTATTCCTTTTCTTTCCTCTAGACTCCCATGTATATGTCTTACTTCCTTGTCCTTAAATTCTTAAATCCTCCACAAGGAAAACTGTGAAATACTGAAAAAGAAATGTAAGGATATATAAAAGATGAAAATTCCTCCCATGTTCATTGACAATCCAAATTATTGTTAAAAGACCATGTTACCAAAAGTGACCTACAGATTCAATACAATCCCACAAAAATACTAATAATATTCTTTACACATAATTACATATAGAAATTCATATAGAAGAACAAACTATCTGGAGCCATCACAATACCCAATTTTTAAAATTTTTGGTTAGTTATATATGACAGTAGAATGCACTTTGACATATCATATATAAATGGAGTATAACTTGTCATTATTCTGGTTATACATGATGAGGAATCATACAGGTTGTGTAGTCATATATGCACATAATGTAATAATGTCAGATTCATTCTATTATCCTTCCTACCCTCCTAGCCCCTTCCCTTCTTTCCTCCTCTCTGCCTAACCCAAAGTAACTCTGTTATTCCTAGCTACTCCTGCTCCATTGTGAATTAGCATCAATATACCAAAGAAAACATTTGGGTTTTAGGTTTGGGGGATTGGCTTATTTTGCTTAGCATGTTAGTCTCCAGCTTCATCATGTACTGGCAAATGACACAATTTCATTCTTATTTAAGGCTGAATAATATTCTACTGTGACTATATACCACATTTTCTTTATCAATTCATCTGTTGAAAGGCTTCTTGGTTGGTTCCATAGTTTAACTATTGTGAATTGAGCTGCTGTAAATATTCATGTGGCTGAGACACTGTAGTATACTGATTTTAAGTCATTTGGGTATAAGTGGAGGAGTGGGAGCTGGGTCAAATGGTGGTTCCATTCCAAGTTTTCTGAAGAATCTCCACACTGCTTTCCAGAGTGGTTGCACCAATTTTCATTCCAATCAGCAATGTATGAGCGTACCCTTTCCCCCACATCCTTGCCAACGTTTGTTGTTTTTCATATATTTGGTAATTGTCATTTTGACTGAAATGAGATGAAATCTTAGAGTAGTTTTGATTTGCATTTCTCTAATTGCTAGAGATGATGAGCATTTTTCATATGTTTGTTGATTAATTGTATTTCTTCTGTAAAATATCTGATCAGTTCCTTAGCCCTCTTATCAATTAGATTATTTGGGGTTTTTTGGTGTTAAGTTTTTTGAGTTCTTTATGTATTCTGGAGATTAACGCTCTATCTGAGGTACATGTGGTAAAGATTCTCTCCCATTCTGGAGGCTCTTTCTTCATGTTATTTATTGTTTTCCTTTGCTGACAAGAAGCTTTTTAGTTTGATTCTATTCCATTTATTTTTCTTCTTGCACATTAGGAGTCTTGTTAAGGAAGTCAGATCCTAAGTTGACAATAGTAAAGATTTGGCCTACTTTTTCTTCTATTAGGTGCAGGGTATCTATTCTAGTGCTTGAGTCCTTGATCCATTTCAATTTGAGATTTGTGCAGGATGAGATTTAGGAGTTTAATTTCATTTTGTTACATATGGATTTCCAGTTTTCCCAGCAGCATTTGTTGAATGAATAGGCTATCTTTTCTACAATGAATGTTTTTGGCTCCCTTGTCTAGTATGAGATAACTGTATTCTTAAAAAATGGAAAGAAAGCATGTCTTTCTGGATAGGCAGAATTAATATTGTGAAAATGACCATACTATCAAAAGCATTATTCAGCTTTAATGCAATTTCTATTAAAACACCAATGACATTCTTCATAGTACTAGAAAAAGCAATAATGAAATTCATTTGGAAAAATAAGAGACCCAGAATAGCCAGTGAAATGTTATCAAGAAGAGTGAAGCAGGAGGCATTACAATATCAGACCTTAAACTATAATACAGAGCCATAGTAACAAAACTCATATGGTATTGGCATCAAAACGACATATAGACCAATGATACAGAATAAAAGACACAGAAACAAATGCACATAAATACAGTTATCTCATACTAGACAAAGAGGATACCCAATTTCAAATCATTCTAAAGAGCCATACTAAAACCCAACATGGTCCTGGTGTAAAAACAGACATGTGGGCCCATGAAATAGAATACAAGACACAGAGACAAACTCACACAGCTATAGTCACCTGATTCTTCATAAAGGTGTCAAAACATTGTTGGAGAAAAGAAACCCTCTTTGACAAATGGATCTTGAAAAACTGGCTAACTGTATTTAGAATGAGACTTGATCCCTATATCTTACTCTGTACAAAAGTCAACTCAGAATAGATGAAAGACCTAGTAATTATACCAGAAGCTTTGAAACTACTAGAAGAAAACTTAGCGGAAACACTTTATATAAGCACAAACAATGACTACCTAAATAGTAAATCCTCCAGTTGAGTAAATAATAATAATCAGTAAATGGAAAGGCATTAAATTAATAAAAAACTGCTGCACAGCCAAGGAAACAATGGTAAGAGTCAGCCTACAGAATGGGAAATATCTTTTCCAGAAAATCCTCTTTTGACAGAGGATTAAGATTCAGAATAATATAAAGAACTAAAAATATTCAAATCCCACCCCCATAAAGAAAAAAAAACATTTAATGAATGGGCAAATGAAATGAATAGATACTTAAAAGAAGTACAAATGGGAAGGAATTTTTAAAAAATTGTTCAACATTTTTAGCCATCAGGGAAATGCAAATCAAGACTACACTGAGACACCACAGCACTCTAATCAGAATGACAATCATCAAGAACACAAATAACAATAAATGCTGTTGAGGTTAATGAGAAAAAGAAACACTTATACACTGTTGGTGGAGATGTAAATTACTACCAGGTATTATGGAAATCAGCTTGGAGGCTCCTCAAAAAAACTAAAAACAGAACTACCAGTGATCCACTTATACTACTCCTTGGTATTTACCCCAAAGAATTAAAATCAGTATACTTTAGTGCTATACCCATGTTTATCACAGCACAATTAACAATGCCAAAGTTATAGAACAAGCCTAGGTGTCTATCAACAGATGAATGGATAAAAAAATGTTTTATAAATACATAATGTAATTTTATTTAGTTGTGAAGAAAAATAAAATTATATCAATGCAGGAAAATGGAACTAGAGAGCATCTTGTTAAGTGAAATAAGCTAGACTCATATTTTTTATGTGAAATCTTGAAAAAAGAAAGAAGAAAGGACATCATGAATGAAAAAGAGAGACTATTGCTGTAGAGGCAGGAGATCAGCGGTAGAGAAGGGGAGTGTAAGGGGAAGTATTGGGGAATGAATTTGATAACTATGTTATAAGCATGTGTAAATATGCCATGATGAAACCCACTATTCTTCATAATTAATATGCAATTTTTTAAAAGTAATTTTACAAAGGAATTTTTAAATTAGTGTTAGTATTGCCTAAGTTAGTAGAGTACAATAATATTAATTTACCTAGAAATTAAGTATTGATTTATATATATATATATAAATCAATAAATCTATCATTTGTTTCATACATACTTTTATGTCCTGTAATTTTAATAAGACATACATAAACTTTATTTTATTGCATAACTTCTAAAGTTTTCTTCAGCTTTTACCTCTGATATTTATAAGCCATCCTTTTTAAAAATTTTTTAAATTATAAATAAAAATAAAATGTATTTTGGTGAATTATACAACATAGAATATAACTTATTCTATTTAAGATCCCAGATTGTGGTTATACATGATGCAGATTTTCCCTGGTCATGTATTTAGACACAAGGCCAGAAAAGTTATGTCCTATTAATTCTACTGTCTTTCCTGTCCCCCTCTTCCCCATCCCATGTGTTCATTTCTTTTGTTCAATCAAATGGATTTCTATTCTTCCCCTACCCAACCTCCCTTGTTTTGGGGTAGTATCCACATGTCAGAGAGAATAATTGGCCTTTGTTTTTTTGGGAATGGCTTATTTCACTTAGCATGATATTCTCCAGTTCCATACATTTACCAGCAAATGCCATTATTTCATTCTTCTTTATGGCTGAGCAATATCTCATTGTATACATGTACATTTTCTTTATCCATTCATCCTTTGAAGGACACCTAGATTGTTTCCATGGATTGACTATTGTGAGTGAGCTGCTATAAACATGGATGTCGCTGCATCACTGTAGTATGCTATTTTTAAGTCTTTTGTGTATAGACCAAGGAGCTGGATAACTGGGTCAAATGGTAGTTCCATTTCAGTTTTTTTTAAGGAAACTTCATACTGCTTTCCAGAGTGGTTGCACCAATTTTCTGTCTCACCAACAATATATGAGAATACCTTTCTTCTCATATTCTCACCAACATTTATTGTTACTTGTATTTATAATTGCCATTTTAACTGAAGTGAGATGGAATCTTGGTGTAGTATTAATTTGTATTACTCTAATTGTGGAGATGTTGAACTTTTTTTTTATATTTTTTGATCATTTGTATTTCTTCTTCTGTGAAGCATCTGTTCAGCTCCTTTGCTCTTTTATTGATTGGGTTATTTATTTTTCTGGTGTTAAGTTTTTTAGTTCTTTGAAAGTCCTGGAAATTAATACCTTATGTGAGGGTACCGGTAGTAAAGATATTTTACCATTCTGCAGGATCTCTGTTCACATTCTTGATTGTTTCCTTTGCTGTAAAGAAGCTTTTGAGTTTGATACCATCCCATTTATTGATTTTTTTATTTTACTTCCTGAGCTTTAGGAGTCTTATTGAAGAAT